CTTCAGTCAGCTGATTGAGCTGCATCTCGAGTTTGATCAGTGTGCGGCGAAGCGTTGGAACATCTGTAAGTTCATCAACGCTAAGACCAGGGATCGTATGCTGAACCTTTTTGTTAACACCTTGCATTTCCTTCTTCCTTGCAGATGCTAATCTTCGCTCTCTTTCCTCGCGATAGTTCTGAACTTTACTTTTGAGAGACTTGTTTGCTGCACGAAGTTTTTCTAGCTTTTCCTCGAGTTCATCACCACGTCTTACAAACTGAGTCAACGTCGACTTTTCAACAAGTAGAGCTTTAACCATTCCTTGCAAATAAATTGCCTGGCTTTGGCCTTTCTCAAGAGCACCAATGCAGTCTTCATACTCAGCTTTTATCGTGGCTAACACAGGTTTGTAAACCACAGTTTTCTCTTCTACTAGATGATCAAAAGCATGTTTATGGACGATGTAGCGGTCATGCGGAGTTGTATCTGGGTGATAATTCAAACGGTACAGTTCATCATCGATGAAGGTTTCAATATCACGGACAGTACAACCATAATCCTTAATTCTACTGCCGAATCTAGTTCCTCTAGACTGACTAGTTGTCTTTGGAGTTGATGGTGAATTCGAACCTTTGGAACGTGTTCGTGTTCTATTGTCAAATGCTCCAAGCGATTTCATGTTCTAGAATACGCAATCTTTCTCATCAGTTAGTTATACTTTGATCGACCAAAATTTGATAAAACATTCGACTTTATAAAGAAGCCAATTCACTGTCAGGGAAGCCATTTTGCTGCCGAAATGTTACCATCTGTTGTTATGGACACCTCGATTGCTTGTAGACCAATAATATTGCAGCAAGTATGATAAGCKTTGCATGATGGGAAATCCACCTCAAAACAGGAAACGTTCTTGTCAAAATGGCTGCCTCAGATCAAAATCAAAACATTTTCCCTCAAATTTCGGGTGATGTCTCAGAAGCTGAGMAAAAGATGGATCTTAAGGACAAGCTGTCTTTGATTGATAAAGAAATCAGGCAGCTATATCAGTTTTGTGTGCAAGAAGGCTTTTCTCCTGCTCAAATTGAAAAGTGTGCTCAACCATTACTTGATGTTGGTAGAGCTCAAAAGAAAAAGAAGTGGTTGAAAAGACTTGGATGCTTGGTTTTGTTCGTGGCTTTCATTGCTGGTATACTCATGTACCGTCCTGCTTACAATAAAGTATGCATTTATGCAAAGTTGGCTTCAATGAAGGTAAAAACATGAAATTCTGAAATAGTATCTATTGTAACTTGTATTTTCTGCATACTATTTCGACATTAATATGTTGTTACATTATAATACTCCCTAGCATGCTGAGTTCGTGAAATAGAAAAAAAGACAATTAAAAGCTATTAAAATAAAATTTGAACTGCAGCTGCTCCGACCTTCTTCCTACTTATTCTTGTAAATGAAATAAATTAAAATGTCAAAAACTAAGTATGAAAATATCAGTGGTTAAAAAACGATAAGGATGATAATAATTACTAGTAGTATCATCATATAAACTAGTTTTAGTCTGTGTTAATGTCACACAAAAATTAAGGCAGTGATATGAAATTCATAAACACTTCGTTCAAAACACATGAATCCCATGCAAGTGAACCAAATATGATGAATACATCATGAATTGGTGAATGAGGCAGAGCAAATTTGAYGACAAACTATCATGATAATAATAAACATAAACAATTCCTAATTTATTGTGTTATTTTATTTTGAAATCAGATTTTGCCATATTGGGATTGGAGATACATCTATGAAAAAGATTGCCTTATCGACAACCCATACAGTGTTCAAGAAGCCATAACAGAGGAAGAGTGCGTGTCAAAATGTGGAGACCTAAGGAAAATAGACAGAATAGATAATGCAGATCACTCGGATATGACTGATTATTTGACGAACCAGAGACCTGTGGTCATCACRGATGCCACAGAGAACTGGAGAGCAAGAAAGGAGTTTAGTATTGAGTTTATAGCTAAGGTAATTTACCTACTTATTTTGTTGTTTGTTTTTTAATGTCAAAATCATCAGTTTTAATAAATGCATAACATTTAGCAGCTAACTGCTATGTAATAAAACAATTGACACAATCCATTACCTCAAGCTACCTTCAATGTATGTCAGTCAAACCAGACATGTATCCATTGCCTGTTATCTTTCAGATGTTCCATGAAACTTCAACTCTAAAAAATGCTGCTGTCTGTCAGTTCCAGTCCACTTTAGAAGGGTATTCTAAGCCTGGACCATTCTTATCAGACCTCATGCAAGGCAAAATACAGGGAAGCTATCAAACCTACTGGTTAGTGTCATATCCCTCCATCTAATGCACGGCATGTTTTCACCTTGTTGTTATCACCGGAATAGTGTATGTTCTGGGTACAAGATTAACGTCTATAAATTTACTACAGGAACCTCATCCTATGAAAAGAAAATTTGATTAAATAAATTTAAATGCAATTTTATCAGGGAAAACTGTGATAAAGAAGGAGCAAAGGTGTTCAGGCAGTTCTACCGACGGCCATACTTCTTGCCTCCAATGGTTGAATCCGATGAAGGAAACTTTTTAATTGTTTCTTCTGGTGGGTCAAAGACGCTGAAGGTAATGTGATCAAAATGTCATGGTGTAAATCAGAAATTTTCTAAGGATTTATTTGATGCACCCTTCATATAACTAGCCCCTAGCCATTAAATCTGTTTTATTTTTTGTTTGTAGTATGTTTATGTTACCCTGTCTACCAGGGAGTGGTAGGGGCTGAGAGGGTAATGGCACCTCCTGAAAACCTCATTTGGGTTCTTCCATTTTGCTTGCTAGTCATGATTTTGTTTGAATAAATCTTGAAGTAGAGACAAGCTCAAAACACTGATTGAGATATGAAATATGTGGATATCCATTCAGTTGAGAACTTTTAATTAGTGAGTCCTTTATGCAGTTTCAACAGTGACATCTGCATGTTTGTTTTTTAGGTTTTTTGGCAAACAACTGTATCATGGCTTTCTCAGGTAGAGTTAAAATATCATTCACAATTAAAAAGGAAATGTAATGCTAGGTGAGATAGGATAAGATCAAGTAGATCAGAAAAAATAGAATGAGATACAAAAGGTTGAGATAGGATAATATGGGGAAAGAATGAATGATAGAATGATGCGATGACATAAGACAGGAAACAATTTTGATTGAATGGAGTGAATTAGACTGTATCTAAATTGCATTGCATTGGTTTATCCAGACCATTTTTACTATTTTTTTTCACAACTTATCAACCTATATTGTTATTAGATCACTGGGCAAGGCAGAATCATATTAAGACCTGATCCAACATGTGAAACTGCTTGCAAAGATCTTATGGTTATGATGAAACCTGGGGATTCTTGTAAGTAAAATAATATCAGGAAAATTGGCAGTTTGTACACTCTGAATAAAGTGCTACTTATTCATCAGGAAAGTAAAACATACCTTTATTAAATTAATAATACTCCATAATGTTGTCTACAATTGCTAGCCCTCTGATGTAGCTCTTTTTATTATTGTTGTTGTTGTTGTTGTTGTTGATGTTTATTTATTGTTTTTTTTTCTCTACATTTCAGTGGTATTTTCCAATGAGTTGTGGACAACCTCTTTCAAGCCTGTTGGCAATGATCCAGTGATTGTCATTGGATCAACAGGAACCACCTTTTAATGCATACAGATTTGAAAGCATTTGTAACAATAAAGTTAATAGCAATCATTTAAATAGTGTCTGTTTTCCTCCATTTTAAAAGAAGATAAAAATCTCCATGATTGTTAACATATGCCATTCCATGTCATTTACAAACGAAAATACCTCAATTATTTTGTTACTTAACAAAATAATTGAGGTATTTTCGTTTGTAAAATATTGACTTATATCAAAATGGGAAAATAGCGTTCATCAGTAATATATCCATGGTATCATATCGAACTGAATTTCCAGCAATCTACTCTTGAATTTGATTGTAATTTTTTCAAATGCATCGAATATTGAGTTTGCATATTATAGACAAGAAACGCGCGCATTTCAAAAATCGGTGTGGTGGGACAAGAACACGTAGCAGGCTGGTGTGTTATTTCAGCTGGACCATAACAATGACGTGTCTGTATTGAAGCGTGACCCGTTTTAAAAGAGGAAAAGAACTATCCACAACAAGTCTTCATACTAATTGTTTCGCATCAAATTCGCACGATTGAAACTTAAAGATGAGGCAACTTCCCGGAAAAGCAGCGAAGGAGACACGCAAGATGAAAAGAGAGCGAAAAAAGAACAATATGGAAGGAAAGAGCAGAGCTTTGACCATTGCGATACCTGTCCTATTGGGAGTCTTTGGATTAATCGTCGCTTACGTTTATACAACAGCTAGCAAGCATTGATTTGAACTATTGTTGGATTACTGTGGCTACATAAATGATGATACCCAATGATCTCATGACCGAATACTATTAACGTTATAGGTGGAACTGAAGTTGTGTGATCACATCACGACAAGATAAACTCTGTGTGCAGCTTTGAGGGTCAAGTTTTATATAGACTCAAAGGACACTCGTCATGAGATGATGATACATTTTTCCAAATTTAACTTTTATATGTACTTCACAATGTATAAGCTTACGTAGCCGCGGTTATATGCTGTGAAATTATGTAATTAACTTATAACTTAAATAATTATTTAACATTGTCCTGTGTTGTTATGAAGATCCTTGTAAGTTCTGTATTATTCACAATGTAACTAACGTTCTATTGCGATTTTGAACTTGCTAATTTGTTAATTAACCTTTTTGTCTTGTTTTCGGATTTGTTTCGTTCCTGTTTTGCAGTTTGTGTTTCGGGATGGGAAATACTATTGGGCTCCCTGTGTTTGACATTTGTCTTTCCCAGCATTTCATTGAAACGTCCAGTATGTCATTTTGAACGACCGTTTCTAAAACATTTGCCAGTCAAAAAATACAGAATGATCTAAAAAAATATAAACATCTGTCCATATGGATGGCTTCAGAAAAAAAAAACATGACGTCACATCAAATGCATTTGACAGAGCATCACTGGGTACTAGTATAATTTGGAGACATCTTATCGAGGTATTTTGCCGCCAAGTTTCGAATTTTTATTCGTTCAATTTACAAATTAATAACCCTTATTTCAAGTATACAGATAGCATATCCATTTCAAGATGAGTTCGTTTAAATCTAGAGGACTGTTTGTATGCATTGAAGGATGTGATCGGGCCGGAAAATCGACGCAAGCTAAGCTTTTAGTTGAATACATCAAGTCATTGGGAAGAGCTGTTGAACATTTTCGATTCCCAGGTATTTTAAATGTACATTAAGTAGTTAAGAATCATAATTAGATAATTACTACCATTGGTATCTGGTATGTAAAGTGTTCTGTTCTTATTGATAGATCGCAGCACAGCCATAGGAAAATGTATTGATTCCTACCTTCAAGGGACATCAGACCTCGAAGACCACGCCATACATCTATTATTTTCTGCCAATAGATGGGAAGCTGTGTAAGATCTATTTATGTATTTTGAAATATGTTATTTAGGAAAAAGATTATACTAATATTTTGATATATACAATATTCAGTCCTAAAATGAAAAGGTTGTTGCACAGTGGAACATGTATTATTACAGACCGGTATGCTTTCTCTGGAGTGGCTTTTACTGCTGCAAAGGTGAGGATAATTCCTAATATAAGTGATTGATCAATCAGGAAAGATGATTCCAGAAGACTCAATTCCCAGGGATGTTTTTCCTGGGAGTGAGGATAAAGGACAAAAGATTACTTCTGAAAGTTCCTAGCCCCTAACAGTCAATGTGACCATTACAAAAGAAAAAAGTTTCCTGGAAGTTTGCTTGACGCTTACATAGCCTTCTGCTTGGCTTTTGGTCTTCATGCAGTGACAGAAGACTATGAAAACAGGAGACTATGAAAAATCCTAGGCAGATTAATTGCTTAGTTCATCTGGCGTTAAATTATATTTTAAGGATTTTTCATTGTGTGTAGGCTGTGTTATAGACAATGATTGTTTTGTAGGGATATGACACAACCTGGTGTATGAATCCTGAACGAGGACTACCATTACCAGATCTGACTGTATACTTAGATATATCTACAGAAAAAGCTTCTAAAAGATCAGAATTTGGTGAAGAACGCTATGAAAACAGTGAATTCCAGGAGAAAGTCAGTAAAAAATACCAAGAATTGATAACAAAAGATTGGAAGGTAAGATTCAAAGTGTATATTACAATTGTAATCTTGCATTGATATGAAATTGATTTTTTTGGAAAGGTAACAAATTTTTTGGTATCTATAAAGTCCTAGATCACATTTACATATTACTTGCATGCATATAATTAATTGTATGTAAAATATGGGTGATGTCAACATTTTTGCGTCTTCAGGTGATTGATGCCACTCAGAGTATTGAAAAAATTCATCAAGAAATAAAAGACGCTGTTGATATTGTACAGAAGTCAGTGATTAATAATAATGAACTTTTGAAGGAATTGTGGACATGGCCACAACTATAAACTATGAAACACATAATTTCAATTTCATCATTTACATCAACAAAAGAAAAACAGTCCAGGCCTTCCATAAATCAGTGAAATATAATATGCTTGCCATTGAGTGACATCAACGTTCGGGTGTGTTACTAGTGCACTGAAGCTTGCTGGACCTGACTAACTGAAGTGAATGAATGATTGATTGAATAATTCCTTGCTTGACTGACCTCATGTCGAGGTCACGTAGATGTCAGGTTGATGTGGGGCAGATTTTGTTTGATACAGAATGATGACTCCAAGAATTATTTAAATAGCAATACTTTATGCATTTCAATGTTTTCAATTCACTGTTTTTGGGCAGGCCTGGACAGGGTTAGTCTCCTCTCGCAGGCATTAGGATGTTTGTTCCTAGGTCACTCCTCCCTAGCTGTTAGGACGTTCGGTCCCAGGTCAACAAACGTTCTAATGGCTGCGAGAGGAGACTAGGGCAGGGTTCCATTGTCATAACATACGCAGTCAATGACGTCATTCTATCCACCATGATCTGGCAGATGCTGAATCGTCATTTTGCAGATTACTAACAAAGATTTCTAACAAAGCTTTCGAAACATGTACTAAACTTTCCCAACCCTCAAGGGATGGAAGAGTGAATGGATATATGAAAAAATCATTTTTAATTGGATCAGTAAATTTAAACTTCACACAAAAAACTAGAAAGCCTGGCCAAGGACCCCAAGCCTGAATCCACTGGACCCAGGCCCTTTTGAAGATTACATCTCAGAATAACAAACAATCTTTAGCATTTTGATAAAAAGGTAGATTGTATCAGATTGTAAAATGGGAGGCTGACCTCTAATTAATTCTAACATTTCAAGAGAGTATAACTTTTGTCTACAACCATTAATGTAACATGTCTAATGCCCGTTTACACTTGCGTCGCGATAATCGCCATTTTGCTATCGCGCAACTTAACAGCCCTGCGATTGTTGCGACGATGGAAAATCGCCGCGAAGTTGCAGCCAATTTTCAAGCATGTTCGAAACTCGGGCGACGATCGCCGCGAGAATCGCTCTGCAAAAATCGCAAGTGTAAACTATCGTAGGGCTATTCAACAATTATTTTGAATCACCACGACAGTTGTAGCCATGTTGTAAGGATGACTTAGGCAAGTTGCATGCGAATTGAATTCGACTTACGTTCCCGTAAGCACGTCTTTACGTTCCCGTTGCGGTCCTTTTTATTGGTCAAGGCAGCCTTCTTTAATCAACTAAAGCTATGTTGTGGCCTATTTATCTCTATGTTCCTTGAGGCTACAAGGATTTTAAACCAAAAACACATGGCAATGCCTACAAAAACGTGAAGTTTAGCACTGGTTTCAATGTGTTTGTACTTTTGTCCGTACGGTTGTAATAAAGAAAGAAAATAGCCACTTTCGGTGGTTCTTATTTGAAAGCATTTGGTCCGAGTTAGTCGGGATATCGAAAAACACTTGACAACAAGACACAAGCTCTTGTTTTTGACCAATCAAATTAACAGATGAAAGTAATGTCTCTGCCTTCTTACTTTAATAAATGGCGAACTATAGTCTTTGTTGAAAATAAGTGTGTATGTAACAACAGGACAGCGAGGGTTGGGTTTTTTTTACGAACATTCATTGAAGCAAAGTGCTAATGGTCACATAGTATCTTTGGGTTGCAGAGATCGAAGATCACTGCTAAACGGGTAAATTGTTTCTCTTTTAATTCTGTATTAAGGCGATGGAAGTGTTTTAGGCCTTTCATAACTTGCTATATAGCTAGAGAAGCATTTCTTTAATTGGGTGCACTCTACTTTTGAATAGGCTTCAAAAATTTTGGACTGTCTTCATTTATGAAAATGCTTGCCTTGGCATTATACTTGAGAAGGTGAAATCAAATGTTTATGACTAGATCGCAAGAATTGTAGATCCAAACAATTGGTTGTCAAGTGGACCACCATCATGTTCTAGATAACGGTCTGTATCGGTATAACCTTTGTGCCCGAAAACGTTGAGTAGAGTAACGTATTGAAACAATTTGTAACATGACCTTGACATCCAGACACAAATTTATCCATTTTAATCATCAAAAAACTACAGAAAGTGATGTAAAAACGTGCTTGGGATCGTTAGCGCGCGATTTTTCTAGACAGATAAACGGGAAATTTAAATGTTTTAGTGTGAATAATATTGTGTGTTAATAAAGGGAAATTCAATTAATATGCTGTCTGAAGTTCCGTCAAGGTTTTTAAGCCTATTATTTGTGTGGGTTGGGTTGAGGCCAGTCAGGTGTTTCCATGTTATGCAATGATGCGTTTTTACTCTAAACTGAAAAAAAAAATAAAAAGTACCAATAAAAGGAATAAAGCTAAGGTTAGGACCAACCCATGATGATCGTAATGGTCGTGTAACTCCTAGGAGACAGTTAAGTGCCACGTGCTTTTGAGGCAACAATCTCAAACGTGACATGACACGTTGGTCAGATGACTCCATGGGAGATCAATCGATTGACGACTTAATCGTGCTCAGGTCACAACATAAACAAAGACTATAAACTCAAGACTAAATAAAACTTCCTCCTTACATCTACGGTGGTCGAGATTACTTTAACCAACAAGATGTACACACTTTTGTTAGCAAAAGGTTCACATAGAATTGTTTTCCCTGTAAATAACACGAAATTCACCAAAGAAATCGATCATTGCCAGCTTCGTTCAGTTTCAGTGACAATTTCCGATTAGTTTCAAAAATGTCGGAAATGATCATTAAAAAGTGACTTGGATAAAAAGTAAAGCAGCTCTGCCTGTTAATCTTTTCTGAGTCATCAACTGTGACAATATTTTCAATCCATACAGCTTCAGTTTTAAATGTTTCAAAGCCGGAAACGTTTCCACACCGGAAGTGTCAGGTATAGCATAATGAGAATGTGATCACTGACAGAAATAAGTCACCTTGTTACTGCTAAAAACTAGTGGAATTTACATTGGTTTCTTATGAGCAATGAATTCTGATTTAATCATCCCACGTAGATTGTAAGTAGTGGTTGGTATTGTTTAGTGTCAGTAGGTCACACCTATTCTTGACAGAGAGATGGCAATAGCAAATCTCACTTATCACAATGTGTCATTGGCTAGCCTATCATCAAGTGCGTAAAGAAACCCCCTATCTAGAGAAATAACAAATTATGCAAACAGTGCACCACAGATAACAGGGACAATCTCAAACTACTCCAGTGTTTGCGAACTTGTTCAACAAGCGATTTGTGTGACGTTGATATCCAGATGCTGAAGGCGTTCGACCATTTCGGCAACTGTTTTATCCCGAGGTGTGCAAATGTGAAATCCATTAAAGAATCATTGTTTTCCGCTTTGGACATCAGATGTGCTCGAGAATCAAAATAAGCTTTTACAGGCGTTTGATTGGCTACGTAAGCGGTTCGTTCTGTCAGTCAAACATCCTGGCCAATGACAAACTGTTGTGAGTTCTTCACAAGTGCAACAGGTTTTCACTCGAATTATAAAACTAAACTGCTCATTTGATCGAGAATAACCTAGTAACGTTTAGTGACGGTGGAATTGAACATGGCCAGTATTTTCGACTATCTGTCACCATCTCATAACGCAAGTTATTCTGCATTTACTCAAGTACCAAGAGGTACTGTAATGACCGCAGATATGAGTGAGTGGACGAACGAGAGTACCTATCCTACAAGTTATACATATCCTGAGGTACCAGCCCAGCAGCCTCCGCACCATATTCCAGGATTGCGTCCAAACCAAAGTGTCATGGTTGATCAATACTCTGGTTCAAGTAGCCTACCAAGTTCGCAAGGGGTCTACAATCTTACGTCTAATTACCCTTGCGTATCAAATGCTACAAATCCAATATTTGCTGCTAGAGATTTTCTCCTTCGACGCGATCATTGTGCTATCCCGTTTGGCGTGCCGCAACAACCAGCGCAGTTTCACTCTGATGTGACCGCAACGTTAGCTAGTGGCGTTACTTACCAACAAAACTACCCTGTCCTACAGCAAGCTGTGACGGCCGTGTCTGCTGCTGTAATGCCAAGTGTTACTCCTCTTTCTCCTGGTACAAGTACGATAAGTCATCCCAACTTGGCCTTGTATTCTAATGACTCTAGGACAGAGCATACCGACCACATGTCGACGAGTCCAAGCAGCGTTCACAGTCAGACGAAAGTCGAATCGCCACCGAGAGATAACTTAAATGAGAAGAGCTCCAACAGTGACGATGCTAAAGTTGATACAACTCCAACGCGACACAGCCCACCTACAGTTCAGTTGTTAGCAAAAAATCCACATGGCACACCAATACAAACAGTCGATTTGAAGTCAAGCAGCGCCTTTCTCCGCTTCATGCGTCCTGTCGTCAAACAGGAACATATTTGCAAATGGATCAATGAAAAGAAAGGTGAACCTTGTGATGAAGTATTTGGAGGTCTGTTGGAGCTTGTTAAGCATATCTCCGTCGAGCATGTCAGCAATGCTAGCGAGAATTCCCTTCACGTCTGCTGTTGGTTAAACTGTGACCGCAATGGAAAACCTTTCAAAGCTAAATACAAACTCGTGAACCATGTTCGCGTGCATACAGGAGAGAAGCCTTTTGAGTGTCCCTTCGCGAACTGTGGCAAACTCTTTGCTCGATCAGAAAACCTCAAGATACACAAACGAACCCACACTGGCGAAAAACCCTTTGTTTGTGAGTTTGAAGGTTGTAAGAGGCGGTTTGCTAACTCCAGCGACAGGAAGAAGCATTCTCATGTTCATACTTCAGACAAACCATATGTTTGTCGTATTAATGGCTGCGAGAAGAGTTATACGCATCCAAGCTCTTTAAGGAAGCATCTAAAAGCACATAGTAAGACTGTCGATAATAATAATGATAATACAAGTGAAAACGTTCCATCGAAAGGTTTAGGAACAGTTCATAAAGCAAGAACATATAACTGGATTAACAACGCTGGTATCTTTAAGAATACAACCCAACACACAACTGTTATAAAGACGGAATCTCATTCATAATAACTAACTTGATAGCAAAGGACTTGAACTTTAGTAATTATTGGGAATGATTATAATTTTATATCATAATTATAAGCAATTGCGAATATTAGAAAGAAATGAAGACATACATATTATTTCATACAAGATTAATAAAAGGATTTAAGGACAAATTTATCACTCAATGATACCAGTATTACCAATGATAAATTGATTGTTAAAGTTAAAATACATATTATTTGTAAAATGTTTTATATATAGATATTGAATAAACTAACTTCTCTGTCTTTATCTAGTTAAATTAGTCAACTGAGATTTACGTAATTATTTTTCTGCAGCCAGTGATGATTACCGAGTGATAATCAGCAAGGGACTTTATTATTGAAGAGAAATGCAAATATTGACATCAAAAACGACAGTTTTGAGTAAAAAAGTCACGGACTTCAAAATATCTTTTAGTTTACTACTGGAATCTTTTGCGGGTACCAAGGATTACAAGAGGCACCAACTGTTGGCAGGCAAAGTTTATCGGGATTATTCAGTTCAAGTACTTGTGAAGTTTCTAAGATTAGCTGAGATAAACTTTCGCGTCTCGGCCTCCAATGATTTCCTGTACAAGTAGTGACCTTCTTT